CCCGCGCGCCGCCGACCGCGGCGGCCGCGGCCGCGGCGGCGGCGGCGGAGAGCGCCGCGCGCGTGGCGGCGACCGTGGACGGGTCTGCGCCCATCACCACCGCAAACACCCCATCAAATGGGCCTCCGCGGCCCCCTCCGAGCTCCTCCCGCGAGCCCCCAGCGCCTGCGCCGCCCGGTGCCGTGGACGCCCCTTCGCCACCCCCCAGGCTCGAGGCGTTCAGCCGGTTCCAAAACATGTGGTCCTCTCCCGCCGCGGCCGGCCCGGCCCCGAGCCGCCGCGGCCGCAGGGCGCCGGGGGTGCGGCCGACGGAGAGCGAGTCGCCGAGGGATGCGAACGTCGTGAGCCAGCCGGCCTCCTGGGGCTGGAAGAGGCTGTAGAGGTAGCCGGTGGCCCCAAAATACCTGGGGGTTGCGTCGATGGGCGCGCAGTGTAGGAACAATTTGGGGGCGGTCGTGAGGGGGGTGTTCGGGGTGGTTTTGGGGGCGACTTGGAAAGGTCTTGGGGATGCTTGATTTGGGGAAGTGGGGCTGTTTGGTTTTCGACCAGACTTGCGTTTGAAGCAGATTTTGACGCACCCTCGGCGCATGTCATGGCCACGAAACATAGAGCGGGGTAACGCGTGGCACTACATACTTACTCACTTCTGCCCGTGCGCCGTCGGTCCCTCGGCCCCCCCTTTGTTGCGCCCCCTTCTGCCGCAAACGCCAGCATTCAACCGCCCCCCAACCAGGATTATGCCTCTCTGCATGAAGAACAAAGCAGCCGCGCGCCTGCTGGCGCCCTCAACGGGCGTGCAGCCCGCCACGACGACGACTTCGTCCCGCCGCAGCTGCCACACGGGCGAGCGGCCGCCCCCGTACAGCTCAGCGTCCCGCAGGTTCTCCTTCACGTACGAAGGGGTGTAGTTGCTCCGCAGCTTCCCGGCGAGGTTCTGGCCACGGGCACGAGCGAGGGCGCGAGGCAGTGTGTACATATGAGCCACACAATTGAGCCCACGCGGAGGGGGCGAGGTGCAAAAAATGGGCGCTGATGTGCAGAGGCCCAGAAGCAGTACGAGCACTGGATCCACGCTCTCTCATCCCCTGAGCACGAGGTTGTTTTGCACTGCGGAGGCGGCCGGCAGCAGCGTTAGCGCAGCCAGGACCCAGAGCTGCTCACCTCCTCGGGGGCGAGCGGCAGCACCACCAGCCCATATGGCGCCGACGGGTTGTTGACCGCGCAGCCGCTGGCGGCGTTGTTGCAGGCAGACGCCCCCCCAGCTTCCACGAGGCCCCAGTCGACCTGGCCCCGCTGCGCCGTAAAGATCGGGCTGCTCCTGAACGCGGCATCAATCGCATCCAGCAGCGGCCGCGCCTCGGCCGGGCAGCGCCCCGGGTACGGCGGCGGTGCTGGCGGCGCGGCCGGCGGCGCGCGGGCGGGGCCGCTGCCGGCGAGCACGGCGCCGCCGAGCGCGGCGCGGCGGG